CTGGAAACAAAGTGATCCCTCGGAAGCATTAATGACAACAAATTACAAGAGAATTGCAGACTCGGTTTGATTGAGTCTGTACATGAGGGATAATGAATAAGTGCAACATCCCTCACGCCCACTAGCACCGGCTTGAGCGGTACTCAATTCTCAACACTTAATAGTGCTGGCATCAATGATCCCGAAGGACCAGAAAATATAACAACACTGAAGTGAAGTACGGGGCAACTTTTTACGGCTGCCACACGGCACTTGACACCTGCTGTTGTGAAGTATGAAATTCTGGAAACAAAGTGATCCCTCGGAAGCATTAATGACAACAAATTACAAGAGAATAGGGCGCGTAAGTCTCGTTTACTTTCGTTTTCGATTTTCAACTTCCGGGTACAAGCACAGGATCTCTTAAAATGGTATATTGTTATGCGTTTGGTTGTGCCCATCGTACTGGTGGACCACAGACGTGTAGTCTGTTTAGATTCCCTAAAAATGCAAAGGAAAGAAAAAAATGGGCTGATTTGTGCAGGTAGGTAAATTTTGATTCGAAAAATACGAAGATATATAAGCTTAAATAAAGCGGCTTTTTTTAATCATTTCAAGCATCAAAAATCGTAAATGATTTATTGTTATTTCGCTAATATTACCAAATTAATGCTATTGAGAGTTGTTATAAAACTTTACTGGTGCAAACTATGTATGCTTATTAAAAATGACGAAGGGGATCGCTTTATTTCTAGGGTGTCTGAAAATAAACGAATTTCGGATATATCCATTCATTCGGATACTATGTTTATTATCTTCCAAATTTGATCATTACTGCCCTTACATATACACAATTTGAATATCATTTAAAAAAATGAAAATAAGCATTCACATCATCCCTACACTACAGTAGTGTTGACGAATCAACAATATTTGGAATCTAGATCAGTTCCCAAGAAAGTAAACAGTTAATATAGTCTAGTGACTTTTATCCATTTTTTTAGAGAAAGTTTTCATACAATAAATTGGCATTTTTTAATATGATTTTCATATATAATAGTGTTTATTTTATGTTGTTATGTAGAATCTGTTAGCTTTATAAATTATATTGTCATTAAATAAAACTGTTCTGAGCCAGCCGCCCTTTTGTTTGTTCAAATACATTTACTTGAATTTAGATGGAATAAAAAGTTTATTTTATTGTACCTTTTAGACGAGCTGACAGGGAGGTAAATGAAAATGACAGGCTCTGTAGCTGTCATTTCACTGATGGAAAGAAGGAAAATGGTCCTAGCATTTTTTCCTACAGTAAGAATGTTGGCTGTTTTCCTGAAATACTAACCCCTCAGAGGTAAACACTTTCTACATTCTATGTCGAAACAATTGTTAATGTGTTAGTCAAATGAAATATGGTCCATTTATAATTCATGATATGTTCAGGGTCACCGGTGTTTAAAGGTTATAAAAATATACCAATCTGAAGGATTAGAGTTTTTAGCAATACACATTTTAACATCAAGATGTCATTGAAAAGAGTAAATGACTTAATTGACACAAGCCAGTCAACTATACAAAAATATAATACCTAAACCAATGCTATCTGATAGTATGTACATGTCTTTTCAAACAGGAAAAAAAGAAAAATGTTAGAATGTAATGACAAAACCATGGATGATAATACTGCCCAAGATCAACCAATCACTTTCCATGATCACACTTACCACAATGTAAATTCTGGCTGTGATGATTCTGATGTAGAGCCATCAACAAAACATAATTCTGGTATGTATGAACTGTTAAGCTTTTAAGTTAAATAGATCTGTACATTCTTTTGACTAATGTATTCAAATTAATGAGCAAATTATCAGAATGTGTTGCACACAATTTTAAATATTGTTGGAGAATAAAAAAGATCAGGTTTAATATACCAATTTTTCTGTTTGAAAATAAGAATTTGGGAAATATGTAAATGTATTTATAAAACTAACTAACAATAGTCCACCATAATGACCACTAATTCTGATAAGCTAGCTTTATTGACATTCAGCTTCATTTGTATGATGATATATTTACAACCCTGTAACAAGGCAGTGGATTGTTACTAGTTTGTGTGAGATTCATTGTTTTCAGTATATTAATATTTTGTAGTTCAAGACTTAGAAATGAAAATACGAAGTATGGAGAATGAGTTGGCAATGATCAAACTACAAAAGCCAAGAATGAAGATACAAGACATTATTAATGACACAAACAAGGTTATTTTTTTATTCATTTTTTAACTTGATTCCAGAGATAAATTCAGTGTAAGCATATTTTCATGACAATGGATTGAAAATCTTCTGCCTTAATAGTTTTTGTAGTTCATGCAAACAAATTAGTTTATTTAAAAGACATGTAATGATTAAGTAGTTGAAGACTAGGGCTGGAAAGATACATTCCTGAAACAACAGAGGTTGTGTATTGTATCAGAATTGTAAAAACAATATAAAGATCTTAATATATATTACTGATCAATAGTAGAAGTCAAAATAGATTCTTCTTTTGAAAATATTTGTAATTTTTTTGCAGTTAATATTTAATTGATTACACGCCGAATGAATCATAATACATGTTGCGTCTGTCATACATGTACCCTTTATAGAATGATAAATGTGGAACTTATCAAAGGGAATAGGTTTATTTTTTTATTTGAAATTTGCAATAAAGTATCGCAATTATTGTGTTGTGATACCTTACTTGAAAATACACAACTCTATTGAAGACATAATACATGTTATCTATAACTACAATATTTTCAGCATATCTGTATCACTTTAATGTTTGTTTATTTACAGATGCTGCTGTATACTTCAGTGCCAGGTGATGTTTTTAATGTATTGACAGACTTGCTTAAGAGAATGGCACCCTTTAATTACTATGCAGGATGGACAGTCAATTGTTTCAGCTTAGAAGATCAACTTTTAATGACTCTACTGAAATTAAGACTTAATTGTAAAGATTTAGATTTAGCAGTGAGGTTTAACATAAGTAGGGGAACTGTTTCAAATATTGTAAACACATATATTTCTGTTCTTCATGAAATTTATTTGATGGTGTATTAAAGGCTGTTGGCATACCTAGTCAATTGAAATGTAAAGGTTCTATGCCTGAGTCTTTCAAAGACTTCAGTTCTGCAAGGATAGCAATGGATGCTACAGAAGTTATTCAAGATGTTCCATCAGACATGAATTGTCAGTCTCTTTCTTACAGTAGCTATAAAAGTAGACACACTGTCAAAGCTGTAACTTGTGTAGCTCCAAATGCAGCATTAGTTTATTGTTCTGATTTGTACCCAGGGTCAACATCTGATGCAGCCATAGTTGAACATTCCAAGTTACTTGATCAACTAAATCCAGGTGACATGATACTGGCTGATAAGGGTTTCAATATCTTTGACAAACTACCAACTGGTGTAACATTGAATATTCCTCCTTTTCTGCGCAAAGGTCAATTTACCAAAGAGGAGGCTGAACTTTGTTTAAAGATTGGAAGAAGTAGGATACATGTTGAACGGGCAAATGAAAGAATTAAGAATTTTGACATTTTAAATCACATACCAGCACAGTATAGACATTTATCAACAAAATTTTTTCAACTATGCTGCTGTCTTGTTAATATTCAATCTCCACTGTTAAAGGAAATTGATGATAAATATGAAATTGTTCAATCCTGACTTCCTGAGCTGTCTTCAAGTAGACATGTATGCTTTCATGAAACAATTTTCATTATTGCCTACTTAATTCATACCTGGCATATTTATTCTATATAGTTTGTAAGCACTTATCTCCAGAAGAAAACACTAACAATACTTTGTATGTTGTAATGGTTTTATTACTTTCACCATACTAGTATGCATATGGAATATTTAATGTAAAAAAATGTCAAAAATATTTTCAACAACAACAACAATGTAATTATAGTTAAATTTCATTCTGTGAGCTGTAAAGACTGGGAAAGTCTAGTCATTACTGTGACAAAAGATATAATCTACTGAAACAACATTGAAAAGCTAATTTCCAACTGCTTTATCAATATGCATTTTATACTTATTAGGAATATTTCAAAAAAAATATATAAATACAAAACTAAAGTCATGCCTCACTGAGTTAAATCTGACTATACAGTAATAAAGCTCTTTAAAGGCACATTTTTCCTTAAATCAATATTTGTAATTCTTTATAAATATCAAACATGTTAAATATGTGTTAAATAATGTGTCAAAAAGAAATTTAGAGCATGTTACATGTTTAAGTACTGAAGAAAATAGCGCTGAAAGTGTAATGTGTGGTAAAGGCAGCAAAATGTTAACAAGTACATGTAGTATTTTGACTTCCATACAAAATACTTCTTCACTATAATTTTACCAATATTGCCAACAGAATTAAAGATACAAAAGATAGCACATGTATATACCAAATGAGTGTATTTTTTAATACAAAAAATGTTTGTGAGAAATAAATTCTATTTCTGAGGCATAATGGGCCTTTAAGAATAACTTGAGAGATTGGTTAAATTTTTGGAGTTTGCATATTCAATTATGTAATAAAATTGATTATCCTGATCCACTTCTCCAATGGATATTTTGTTTAACTTAAATGTTGAAAGCAAAATAGTTTGACCTGGCAATTTTGTGTGTAAAGCTCATCATATTCAATGGATTTTCAGGTTTAAGGACCATTTTCACATCGGTCTTGAATGGAATATATTTTAATGCAGTGGCTTAAAGCTATACATGTGATTTTGAAATAGTTGTGATACATTATTTTATTTTACTATCAATGTGATATACTTGGAAACAAATAATACGAAATAAAAATAGAACTGATTCTGTTTGTTTCATTTATTTTGATTTGATTCCAAGAATTGATTATACTGGTTCATCTTCAGAAAACAAATTTTTGAGATCTTAAAATGTATCAATAAAACAACATATATATATAAAGAATTCGTATTCCAACGTGATAAATGATAAGTTACAATAGTGTCCAGTACATATGCATTTTAATCACATAATATGCGGCACTGGAGTGAAATAAAGCCATTTAATAACAAGAGCGATCAGAAATCACATGTGTCACGTCATGATGGCCAATTTGATGTTGGGACAAATTTTGTGACAGACGAACAGTGCACAACTAGACTTGGTACTGATCATTCCTGTAAAGTTTGGATGAAATTGCACTTGTAGTTCATAAGGAGAAGTCCGGACAAGCTTTTGTGAATCTGGCAACACACATAAAAAGAAACCTTTTTATCAAAGGGCCATTACTCGGCCAAAAATCATTCAACCAGAAAACCCTTGCAATATGGACTTGAGCTACAGATCAATCCTGTAAAGTTTCATTGAAATTGCATTAGTGGTATAAGAGAAGTAGTCTGGACAAACTTAAAAATTATTAAAGGGCCATAACTCTGACAAAAATCATTGAACCAGAAAATGCTGAAAATATGCACAACTAGACTTGGTACTGATCATTCCTGTAAAGTTAGGATGAAATTGCACCAGTAGTTTATGAGGAGTAGTCCGGACAAGTTTTGTGACCGACGGACGGACGGACAGGCGACGGAGAAGTGATCCCTTTATGTCGCCACTACTCCGTAGAGGCGACACAAAAATAATATTACCCGGTGTAATAACAGTGACATGACATCATTTGTGTTATATAAAAGAACATAGCGTTAAAACGCGCTAATGTTAGCGTTACACCATAGGCGAGACAATGAAAATGACTCTTTAACAATTTACAATTCTTATTTTATATATGTGATAAATAGAATATTATATTTGTGTAGATTCAATACTAAATTTTTTGAACAAGTTGGGAAAAAAATCACTGTATGGAGTTTTGATGCGTGTTATGATGTGCATCTGAACAAACAGTGATTTTATCAAGCAATACAATCACCAAATTGTATATATTATTTCGATTCTAACACAACATTAACAAATAAATGCTGCCATACTTATTAAGCTAAATTGCGCCGGATTTGTTTCCGTACTTATTTCAGCAAGTCCGTTTTTAGTGGTTTCTTCACATCTATAATAATGTCACATGTCAAAATATAGAATGTCAACAGTGATTTTATTGCATAATAACACACACTTTTGGTTCTTCTATGTTCAATAGCGAACAATGCAGGTCATGCTAGAAGTTTTCTTTATGAACAAAATATCTAGTTCTAGTTACACACTTTTTACAATGATGGTATGAACTTGTTAAAATAAAAGTCCACCATTATAGAGATGTTTGTTGCCCACAATTTATCCTTGACTATCCGAACAATTTGTAAGTCCTTAGTAGTCCACACAGCTAGGTCACAACACAAAGCACCTGTAATATGCAGCTGTCCCTGAATCTGATGCCAGTAGTCATGAGTTTCTTTCAGCCTAATCCTTCCATCACTAGTCAATTCTGTAATATTGCAAAAGTTGATCATAAAACTAAATGACAAGCATTGTAATTAATTATACACTGATAATATTTCAATCTATCTTTTACATTATTATACATATCTTTTACACAGAAAACCTTTGAACAGGGTTAGTTTGTAAATGGGTGTTAACGGTTTTTCTCATAATCATCAGAAAATTAAAGTTACGGAAACTTAACAGGACAAAATAAAAAGATTCAAGTCAAAGTAATAGTTTCTATGTAATCGGCGATTCATGACTGATTTTGCAGTATTTTTCACCCTATTTCCACTGAGTAACTAATGCAGTAAGGGCTTATTTTCACATATTTTGACCTCTTTTTGCTGATATACATGGGTTGTAAGTGCTGTTTGCAACGTGAAAATTATTTTCTTTGTTCAATAACAATACTATTAAAGTTTACTTTTTAAAACATTTTCAAAAATTTCTTAAAGATTTGCATGAATCTGGAGGCATTATGAATTAATAATAAAACATTCAGACTGATAATATGCCGTGATTTTTTAATGGATTCTTACCAAGAAAAAACCCTTTAATGGATTGGCAAGCTTCAATTACTGTCATTTCCCTAGCTGAGAAAGGGCATTTCACCTCAACAATGTCTGGCAAAATTTCATCCTGGTCTGTTAACTGTTGGTGAACTATTGAATTCTTGTTGAATTCTCCTTGTACAAAACCATCAGGAGATGCACCAAGGATACCTGATTCATGAAGCCATATACCTGGAAAAGAAAAAATACATCAGTACATGGGTGCAAGTTTCATTATTTCAGCAGCTTGTAAGACTCACCATCAAAGTTAAACACATTTTATTTTCCATAAAATTTTAATATCAAGGCTGTACATAGTCAGCACCTCTGATATCACCAAGTATAACAAATTGCATAAACATATGATAAAATGTTACCTGTCTGCCTAACAGTTACTTCTCCTTTCTCACTGTATGCCTCTAAACCATTTTTTTCATGGATAATACCCCATTCAATAGGGGCTCTTTTTTCAAGGTTGTAGGCACTTAAAAGCCTTTTCTTTAATGAAATTGACAATCTGAAATTATTTGAAGACATACTTATAGCTTTGACTACAATTTTGTTTGCTCATGTTACAGCATCTATATGTTTGAAGTAATTGTATAATTGTATAATAAAAGGTTGATGCAACTGGAGCAAATAACATTTAATAAATATTAATTATATTTCATTTATTTTAAAACTCTAGTTGAGGATGACAATTCATAATTATTTGTTTTCTTAAGCTATTAGTTATCATACATACATTTCATATATTACACACAAAAAAATAAGTATTTAAAACAGTAAAAGATTTGATGATTTTACCTATTATGTTTTGCTGCAGCAATAATTTGTCCAAAATTTGAGGCAGTGAAACGCAATTTTCGGACAGCTGCCCACAAAGAATTCTCCCTTTGACCAATGGTGAGAGCGGCAGTTTCTCTAACTTTATCAGTGGAAACTATAAGGTGCCGTCTCAACCATGTGTTACTATCTTCAGCTGACAGGTAATCCGGATTTATCAACAGGTCATCCATCAGTGGAATAGGTAACTGCCTGACTTTTGGTTCAGCAGAGAGAATCCAGTGTAAAGCTGCAGAACAAATATGCACAAAAATTAACGTACTAAATACGAATGTGATTAACGAATTTAAACAGTTTGTGTGCAATTCCTTTTATACCCTCTTGTTGATAGAAACATAAAGCACACATATAGAAGATCAACTTGCATAAAAAATAAAAACTTTTCAATTCAGATCAATTTTCAGAAGGTTATTGCCTTTTATTTTATATGAAAATAAGGCATTGTGAATAAGTAATATAGAAATGAAATTGTTATAAGATATTGTGAATTTGTGTCAGAAACAGGTATGGCATGTGTCATTATATTATATATAATACTTTAATAATTTAAATTTGATCTTAGATATTCAAACATGAAAACATTTAAAGCAGCATACCTCCAGTTAATGTAACTTTCATAAAAAAATTTAAAATGTATTTAAAAATAAAATATTATGGAGTGAACAAAGATACTTAGTTACTTGCACACTGCAAATAGCACTTACAATCCACATAAAATGATAAATTACCAAAAAGAGGTCAGAATATACATAAATACCTCTTATTTGGCTAGTAAAGCAGTATACTTAGTTATTAGAGTGATGATATTGCAAAATCAGTCATTAAATGCACTTAACATATAAATGATTAATTGAACATGAATCTTTACTTTTCTTAAGATCTTAATACATTTTTCTTGAAAGATACTGGCTCATCTGAAGGCTTGCAGCTTTAAGATCAATTATTCAAAATTTTGAAACTGCATATAAATTAGTAACAAGAAAAAAATGTTTAATCATAATACAAACATGAATTCAAAACACAACTTTTAAAATCAAAAGCTAACAAAAGAATCCAGAGGATTCTTGAATGCTAACGAGACCTGGACCTTAGTGGAACTTTTTATAAAAATTCAACAAGTAAATTATAAATGCTATTCAACTATAATTCAGGGTGTCCTTTTGACCCTTGAAATGACTTTTTGGCTCTTCAGATTTCCAAAAGACCTGATTTGACCCTCAGGATTTTAACTGGAGGGTCAAATTTTGTTTAATTCATAGTGAATTAGCCTTGTAGTTGGTAAAACTTATGTCAATACTGGTTAAAATCTTTCATGACTAATAATCAACCTAACTATTCATAGTAATTTTTTGAAGGACTTTCTCCAAAGATAATTAAAATTTTTGTTTGGATTTTAGAAGAGGACTAAAATGTTATGCTAAATGCAGAATATTGAAGGTAAAGATTTCTTGAAGATAACTTTTTAAGTACATGTTCTTTGTTGACAACATAGGTACAGAGTTACATAAACAACTGTGGTCCATCAAAAATGATCAGGTGAGCTAAAAATAATCATTTCAACAAAATAAAAAACACTATTCCCAGGAGAACTAAAATAATGATTTCAACGAACTAAAATAATGATTTCAACAAAATCAAAAACACTTTAACTGTGAGACAACCTGTAAAACGCCCTAATTGTCCAAGTTGCTGATAAAGGTATAACCTGTCATCAGCAGTGACAGGTCTCTTCAGGGCCCTGAATAGAAAATTAATGCATAGTCCATGTATGCAGGGCTCTCGTTTGGTAAAATTGTGGGCCAAGTATCAGACCAATTCCCCAATTAAAATAGTATTTTACTCCTAAATCTGAAAAAATTCCCCCCCCCCCCTTGAAATTAATAATTAATGGTCATATAGATGATCATGTTTTTGGGACGCTTGGGTGAAAAAAAGGCACCCTGTCTTTCCTATATCACTCAGTTTGCTCAGAAAAGCGAAAACAAAGTGGCCTTAGCTTGGTGAATTTCCCAAATGTCAAAATCAACAAAATATGAATCAACAAAATTAAGGGTACTAAATATACACCATTTAGCTTTAAAGTTAGTATTTAGGCTCCCACGTTTACAATTTTTTTAAACGTTTATACGATTTGTAAGAACCATAACAATACTGTTAAAACAGTGGTACTTCTATATACTATACTACATCATGTATGCGAGTCCCCAGATGATGACGCACTTTCTATTTTAAACACATTTACAAAACAAACAAATAAATAATGTTCAAGGGTCATCATGATTGTGTCGGCACACATTTTCTGCATTGAATTCCCATTTCTCTCTTTTGAAAGATCAAAGAAAAATCAAATTTACAAAACAAGTATTATGTCATGAGCGATTATTGCAAAGCAATGCTGTGCGGAAGGTTGTTAACACCCATTTTACTTTGGAATTTGATAAAATCCGTGATTACAGGCAATGATCAAGATATTTGTAAGATAATATGGTCATTTTGATTAAACGGTAAACAATATCATAAACGTTTACGAATGAAAATCCAAAAAATCCATTTAAACGTGTAACCGTGGGGGCCTTAGTTAGCATATTGATTTACATATTTTTAAGATTTGTATCCTTACCTGTATTCTGGTTGCTTAGGAGGATATAGTTCACTCATTGTCAGTGTGGTCTTCGGGGGTGCAGATTTTGGATTTTTCAACCAACTACACTTAACATCAGTTTTGCTTGCTCGTTTATACCTAATACACAAAAAAACATACATAAATTTGTTACATCTGTAATAATCAGTCTTCCCAAATAATGTTTACAAAAAAAAAATTGAGGTTACCAGGGATTTTATGTTATCTATAGGGATGTTTGATATATCTAAAACCAAATAAATTCAATATATGTCTTCCATAAACAATTACTTATTTGACATAGTTAGTTTTCTTTGTCTAACATGTGATAAAATTATATAATGTAAAGTAAAAGTCGACCACCTTTGTCCAGTCTTTGACTTTAAACACATTTATGTAAACTTCACTCTGTCGTCTGAAAAGCTTTTTTAAAGCATATAATCAAAAGAAAACTAGGTGACATGGTAATATGCAGTGTTAAACTTTATATTTTTAATCAGTATATCCTTTTTTATATGCCTTACCCAAATAGCAATGTTGCAGCAACATGGTGACACTTAAACTCTCCTAATGGACACTGACATGACGTTGATTTCACCTCACCATTATCTTCATCGTCCAGAGTAATCTATAAAAGTATAAGAAATTATAATATTTGACACTGACAATTTGTTAAACATATATTCAATGTTTTGTTTTGAAAATACCCAATTCATTCAAAACAAATAAAAATACGAGTTGTAAACAGTTCTATCCGAAATGTGTATTGTCCGAAACTAATGAGAGTGTTACAAAGCTGGCAGTATAAGAATCGTTTTTAAGAAAATATTTACAAATCGCACTCGCCAGTATTAAACTCGAGTGAAGATTAACGTGTATCAAACATCACAAACACACACATATATATATCATAAGGAAAAGCATGACATAACATTGTTACATTATAAAGTTGGCGAAGAATTTTACTAACCTGAACTTTATACGACGTGTTTTTCATGGAAGCCTGCACATATGATGAAATAACTCTTGCGTCGTCAAGAACAAAACGGAGCACTCTGTCGCTCTCCACCGATGCCTCGCTCTTCCTTAGAAGCTTTGCGTGGCCATCGACATATTTAGACCAATATCTAATCGAAAGCGCCATGTCGTTAACTTTTGTTTGTACCCGGAAGTAACAAGTATCGTAATTTCTCGGAGGTCACATGACGAGACTTACATACCCTATAGTTGTTTCAGTGAACTCTGGAAACGTTATCGAACGTGTCAAATGAATGACTTAGACTTGTTTCAATCATATAATATCCACAATATCTGTTATTGTAACTTCAAGGGTTTGTTAAAGTCACATGACTTGTTTTTAAACAATTTGGTGATTCTATTGGCGTCTAAATTTTGTTCAACATAAATAGATATATTTACGCTTCAAACCCAAAATATATAGAACTTAAACAGAAATTCATGCTGGAACTTTAAGAAATGTCATTTTAGCGTGATTTGAGTACATAAGATCATTTTAATTTTTTTGTCATTATTTGCCTGAATATCCCTTTAATACTGTATTACGGTACATACCAGACAAAAAAAGTTTAAAAGCTAAAATTTTGCATTTTACATAACGGAATGAACTTTAAAAGGTCTAATTTATCTTTTTAGACCGATTTATGACAATGAATAAAAATATAATAATCCGCGTAAAAACATATTTGTCAATTCTGTGATCATGATTTCTGCAAGCGTCTACAGGTACTGCTCCGACCCTGTATTGAGTTAAATCCGGCTTAATGTGTCTTGAGTAATGCATATATAGAACAAAATACTTAATATGTATAATTTGGTGTAACGGTGATAACATTCTAAACTAGTAACAGACATTGCCGACGTTGTTTCTTAATTTAGCTCGATGAATTTAATTTAATGTAACACAAAACATACCTCTATGATAATAGATAGCTCAGGGTAAACAATTCCCAGCTCGGTTTGGTTTAAAAGCGTTAAAACGCTTGTTTAGTATTGGGTCATTTGAACAAATTAAATGATAATTCGAGACAAACCGATCCGGAGAGTACAAATGATACTAGATATATATGTACAAGAAGACATTAAATAGCATTGAGTAAGTGTTACAAAATGTTGTTGTACAATGAAGTATTAAGTTAAGAGATAAATTGAATCTCTGCGAAACCAAAATGAGTATGTGTTTTCTGTGTTTGTGTTATCAAGCCGAAATGGGATAAATACTACCGACGTACTAATTCAAAATCCGTGATTATATGTATTTCATCATAAGTTTTACGTTATAAGGCATGAGTTATGAAGGAAGATAATTGTCAATGTGCTTTGACTTATAATGCTCACTTCAACACTCTGAAAGATAGAAAAATATTTGATAAACCAATATGCTTGTACTCAATAGCTCAATAGCTTCAAAACTTTCAGTTATCTTTTCAATTCCACTTAACATTCTTCTTTGTATTTTATAATAATTTCCGAATCAGTTTATTTTAATGTTAAAGTTTATCAAGCGATTCGAAAAATATTCGTAACCAATACGAATTTTTTATTACATTTTCTGTAGGTTAATCTGTAAAGTTCATCAACGCTTAACGATTCAGTGTCCCATGCTAAGTTTAATTTCCGTATTGTGTCGGTATTAATCAAACCTCCTAACCACTAAACTTCGTTTAGTGACACACATTCATTTCTTTCATGCATTTAATATAAACCACTAAATATAACAAATCGAGTATTATTAATTCAGATTACAATTCATCAAAAAGTTTGAAATTATCGTAATAGTGTATTTTTTATTTCGTCTTGTGCTATTAATTATTTATTATGTTAGTTTAGAAATAACAGTTTGAAACATTATTTGTGCTAGATAACCATTATTTTAAGAACCATTCATGTTGTAGATACATGTAGTTATAATTGTACATGTACAACAGTTGGTTGGTTTGATTAAAAAAACGCTGTAGTTTCACTGTTCTTCGTGATCTATGGATTTCTTGTGCATCAACACGGTTATGATTTCAACAACTTACGGTTGTCATATGGTGCAGGTGATGCTCATGTTAACTCTAGAAAATATGTTTGCCAAGTTGGTTAGGTATATGTTCTTCAAAAAGTAGCAGCTGCGGTTTTAACTTTCATTGTCCCACATTTGTTATTTAAGTGCAGAAAAACATATCTAAGGCGCTTTAACAGACCAATGAATTATAAAATAATCAATCACATCTGACATTGTTTATGTGGTGCATGGTCATTTTTTTATATTAGACCGATTTTTATTGCTGCTGTTGTTGTCCCAAGGACCACTCTTTTTCCAGATTACTGCATGTGTCCGGTGCCGTTTACAGCTAAATAAGTTTACTCGTACTACATTACAGTGTTGTTATATTTTGCCTGGTCCTTTGGAATGATATATTCAAGTATTTGTTAAAAGTTGAGTACCGCCCAAAAATGCATAATTGAATATGTTTGATTCAGATTGTTTCTTGGAGCCAAAATAATGTCAGAGGCAAACGTTCGTTTTGAAAATTGCAGAAACTATGCATCGAATCAATATATCATTGCTACAAATTCTCTTATTAACGCAATAAATGATAGTATAATATGCAGTTTGCAATGCACCATGTATCAATGTTGTTTCAAATCTGACGAAGCAGCGCAACACATTTACATTATTTCTTAAAACACCTCTCAACTGTGTGTTCATTTGATTGTACACTAATATTGGGCTAAAAATTAGTAAATTATCATCATAATTTATACATGTTATAATGTCGAATTAATGATTTATCGATTTAATAATATGACAGATTATTAGACATTGCAAAATATTAATGGCAATGAATTATATATGTAATTACTAAAACTAAACTAAGCTATAGCCATTAATCATATCAAATACATTATGAGAACGATTTGACAAATTAAATCCTTTATAAAATAACCTAATTTATGTAAATTTAATCTAATTTTATTGCAAAGTTTTCACAATAATTTCAATGTGTTAATGCTGATTTTGAAATAAATTATTTTCCAGAATATAGTTGAATGAAGTATATGGAATTTTCAATTTGATCTAATTGTTTCTATATAAGACAATTTACTTTTATTGTTAACAACAAAATGATCAGAACTTAATGTTCTTAACTTAATACTTTAAACATATTTATTTGTTAACATAGTGTTTATGAATACGTATCTAACATTTCATGTACATACTATTATTATGGCTCAACATTTAGTTTAGCAATAAATACAAATAACAAAGCAATGAATTATGACTCAACCAATTATCTTATTTTTGTTCACATTAAATGTCAATATTTGTTTCTCTTTATCATGTTGATGCATAGACGCGCTTGATGAAGCACATATAGATTGACAGGTTGAATTTCTCCAATCAAATACGCTTCGTCTCATGTTATTATCAAATTCAAAATTTAATATTCTCTATGGAACATCCAGAACGCCTAATGTGGAATCGTTTGTCAATACGAATAGCATCGATTCTTGTTTATTATATTGCATTTATCATGGAATCGATTTTAATTGTTATTAAAATTGTTGTTTAAGTTATATTAATATATATACAAGTCATTTAATTATACCACGTTATTATTCAAGTAAAATTCCTATTGTTAAGTAGATTTCCTTTGACAAGGAAAAAATCCTGTTTGTTTGTTTTCATTTAAAATGTTCATAATTGGCAATATAAAACTCATTCCATCAGCAAAGCGACAAGCGACTCACCATTCCTAATTATGAATAAGATTTGCCTTTGATTTTGGCAAAACTTAATCTTTTTTGCATCCAAGAATTGTAAAAATGTTAAAAGTTTTACTAAAGGCTTAATCTTAAATAGGATGTCAGTTATTTCCAATTCTTCAATGGAAATATGTATTTGACACATTATCTTTCATTTAATGTATTGTCTGCTGCTTTTTTTACAGTCTTAGCTTATGTTAACAATGGTTTGCTCTTCTGGTAAAAAGCAAATATTCACTAAATGTGTTTAAATTCAAACTTAATATGAAATGAAACGTTGCAAAAACCATATTACAACTCTTTAGATAGGCACATGCAAAGAACCTTTTTTCCACAAATATATTTGATTTAAAAGTCAATATTGACCAAAGTATTCAATTTCAATTATGAAAGGCTTCATTTATCTTCTCAATCATACAAATGAAGTGTGAACTTAGTATAGTACAGTTGATCGATACACAATTGAAAGGGTATTCATGGAAATAAGAACAATTAAATATTTATTTACATAGTATAAATTACATAGATCTGTATACTATGTAATGTGTGTATAAATCCATACATGTTTCAACCAATTTCATTAACAAATACTCCTGCTTTATCATTATGGCTAATCCATTGTTAAGATGAAAAGTTTCACGGGTTGTGATTAATCATTGGGATTATTTATGTTTGATTTACATTATATTTACAATTATAAGACTAAGCGTTCTACTATATTTTGTAAATGTATGATTTATGTTATCTTTTAATTCTTTTAATTTCAAAAAGCTGTGAAAAAAGTTGCATTCAAAAGATAATTGAACAATTATCTTTTAAAGTAAATAAAAGTATACAGGTTGCGTAAGTAAATTAAAAAATGCTAGTTAACCGTATAAAAAGGACATGAATATTAATTATAAAAATACATTTCATTTTCCCTTTTGACCATTTATATTGATATCCGAAACTTATTGGTTCGAATAAATTGAACAATTATGTTATTTTGAAGTGTACTGTACGTTTTATTTCACGTCTGAAATTTATAACATTTAACTATGTGTCGATCTGTCGATATAATCTAAATACCACCAATTCAGCTTCGTATTATACAATAGGATATTTTTTTCCTGTTTGATTTTTGGTTTTCTGCTTTCTATAATTTAATTGATACATTAATTGCAATACAAAGTTTATTTACTCATGGAATATATGGAATATTTCAAACTGTCATTCAATTTATTATATTTCATAATTCGAATTTCCTAAATCAAATAAACGGATTAATCAACTTATGTCAGCTATTGCTTTCCTGTCAAATGATGAATGAATTATTGGAAGTTCCATAGAGAGTATTGTATTCAGGAAATATGATATTAGGTGGGATTAATTTACTTTAGCAGGCATATTACAGTGTTTCTATTTACTATCTCATCAAGGAAACTATTATCATTATCATTCGT